AACTAATTCAATTAGATCTACAAAAAAAAAATGGATCGTGACCAGATATAATGTATTACAATTACAGTTTAAACTATTCTTTTCAGGGTTGAAGAATATAACTCTGATTTCCTGTTTCCTTCCGTCACCGAAGTTTTGACGCCTCCTCGATCTCTCTCGTCTTTTTCCAGTTTGTAACCCGATATAATGTATTACAACTACAGTTTAGAAAACGAAAGCTACGATTCGCTTCCACGCGCAAGCTGAGGATAAAATAGGGAATAAAGAGAAAAAAAATCAATTATATCATAACTAAAGCTTTGCTATGGTTTTTTTTTTCTTTTTTTCTTATGGCTACTGGGCCTAATTCCCCTTTTATTTACTTGCAAGTAGTCTAGGTGAAAACATTACATTTATTTAATTTTATGTTGAGTCACATACAACAAACTTAGTTATTATTAAATAAACACACAATAATAATACAATATTTTAAATATATTCAAAATAAGATATCAAAAAGATACTCTTAACTACTTTTTAGATTACATTTTAACAATATCTTTAATATATTTTTATTTTAAAAATAACTATTTCTTGTTTTAATATTATTTTAATAATAAAAACGTAAAATAATATTAAACAAAATTACAAATGAATATTAACTCATTTTGATTTATAGAACAAGAAATAACCTTCTATAACATTTATATATATATTTCATATTTGTAACTAAAAATTACAAAAATTAATAATTATAATATAAATGAATCTACTTTATAATTTATAAAGTAAATGAATTACATTTACAAAATAAAAAAAAATACTATTTAAAAAAGAAATTATTTTATCTTTTAATATACATATCTAAATTAAACATTATTATATAAACAAATTAATATTAAATTATATGTAACTGATACACGAAATAATAATAAACAAATTTTTAAACTTCTGCCAAAACATAGTAATATAATTATCATAGTTAAAGTCTTAAAATTGTTTTTATATATATATATTTATTTATTTATAAAATAAATATTAATATTAGCTATTATTAATATTTAATTATATGATGAAACATGTTATTATTTATATATTTATGATTATAATTTTACGGGTTATTCCAATAAACAGACAAAATATTTATCAAATATAAAATTAATTTAAAACACAATTTAAGTTATGCTTGGGAGTTCAAGTATCCATTCGGATATGGGTCAAATATTTTGAATCAAAACTAATTTATATCACATCATAGGTGTCATAATTTGTAAGTAGACATGTTTGTAAGTATGGATCAGATTGGGTTTGATTCTAATTGGTACACATCTTAAAACCGATAAAGTAATCATATATCGTTCGGATTCGGGTTATAGTGGTTTGGAAATCTAGGATCTAAAATCTAAAATCTAAAACCAAAAAAAAAAATTTATAGAATTGGATATTAAAATATTTATTTAAAATTTAGATAGTTAATTTTAAATATCATTTTAGAATAAATATAAAACTGAATATTTAAAGTAGATATTTATGTTTGAAATATTTATATTATGGTTAATTTGGACACTCAGATCGATTAAGATTTTTTCCAGGTTTTTCGGTTTTGGGTTATTCGTTCGAGTTTGGCTAATAACACATTGATCCGGATATATTTTGTACCACCCTACAAAACTCATTTTGATATATTTTAGATTTTTGACCGGTTACTGATCCAAATTTTTTGTTTAGATTGAGCTCAGACGTCGAGTTATTAATTTTATGCACATGTCTACTTTATATAAAACAAAAATGTGGTCATATAAGATTTTTACCGAAAGATTATCCGGAATTTTTAAAAATATTATGTTTGAAAAAATTAATGAACTAAATAAGTCTATCCCACATTCTACATGTATAGAAAATGCAATTATATTAAATTTACATCAAACATAAATCTGCGTTTTGAAAGCGCGGATCAAAATCTAGTATACACTGAATAAAGCTTCTAAAGGACAATTTAAAGCTTCAATAAAGAGGATGTAGTGGATTAGTGGAGCGTTACTTTGCCGGTGAAGGGGATATGGGATTCATAGGTCTTTTGTTTCAAAACTCAGATTGCTAAGAGAAGAAAATGTTTTTGTTAAGATGGGTCTTATTTCATGGTTAGTTAACGTAAGCAGTTCAAAACCATCTTACAAACTCCAGACATAAGCATGCATAAGAGTTCTCTATAATAAATCACAAGCCCAAATAATAAACTCACCAGAAACCGAATAATTAGGAATAAGCTTACGCCCGATTTGTAGATGATAACCGCTTAAAAATCAAGGAGAGAGATGCCAGTTGTCATTGTATTAGATAGTTGGGCCCACATTCATCTATCTTTCAAAATTTTAACCTATTTTCATTTCTCTCTATCTTCTTTTTTTTTTACTCGGAAATTTTCTCATCTTCTTTATATTAATTTCTCTGACTTCTAATCTTTTTTTTCGAAAGATTATCTTTTTAAAATTCAGAATGAGCCACGAATTCAACTCATAGTAATTGATTTATCGTCACAGACCATAGGCATCATGCCTGATGCTAGTCGACAAGTTCTCCACCAAAATTCACAGATACGACGAGCTCCACTACCGTGTCTTCTATTCTACACAGATCTTCTCTTCAGCAGTGTCTCAAGTCCTATGGAACCTCAACGTCGTGCCCTCAGCCTCTCTTCTACGGTGTCCTAAGAGATCTTCGTGGTGATCTCAGCCTCTCTCCATGCCTCTGGTGACTGTAAAGGGAAGCCGTCGCTGCATCCGAGATGAGATCTCCATTGTTGAATCTTGAAATTAAGTTTATTTAATTTTCAAATGTGGTCCTTGTAATTTTAATTATATTCATTATTGCCCTAAAACTTTCAGATTTGAAAATAAATCCTCTTCAATTAACTTAAAACTTCTAAATTTTCATTTTAGACCCTATCAAATGAAATGAACAAATAAATGTACCAAATTAACATCTATATTCAAAATCAATAAAATTATTAGATATCATAATTTGAGCAATGTACAAATGAATCGGTGTACATGTGATTTTTCGTATAATATTGTACATGTGGACAGTAGAATATATGTGTACACGTTGACAATATTTGACACACTAGTACCTTTCAAGTAAGTATCATTCTCATAACTAAATTAAGAACTCCCCATAGGTGGTCATCAGAGCTCGTCTCAAATCGACGGTGGAAAATAAAATCATTTACATTTACCTATCACCGAAAATGCTGTTACGGTTTGAGTATTTTTGATTAATAAGGAGAGGTAAAATGTTTTAGTGGAAAAACAGGACTTTAACGATTTGATGGAAAATATTATTTAAAAATTTTGGCGAAAAAATATGATTTTGTATTTTTACCACAAAATTTCAATCTAACAGTCAATCAATCTAAACACATGCATATAAACATGTACACATATACATATTTATCTTGGTATTTTGAGTAAACAACAGCCAATCCATATATGTATATAATAACACTACATATTTCCAATCATCTTCTATGTACACATGCAGATGAAATAGAGTGTACAAAATTACATTATACATTAAAAAAAAACAATCTTTCCACATGTACACATATGTTTGAGATACATGTTAGATGTTCAACATGTTGTAGAGTTCTATATATTCGTTAGTGTACATGTCTACATTAAAAATTGGTTTTTACATGTGTACAACAAATATGATAGTGTATATGTATACAACACTGGAAATTGGGTTAAATCCATTCAAAGATGAATATTAATTGAATATGACATTCAGATCATTATACAAAGCATTATGAAGTTGATTCTCAAGTTAATTATGAAGAGGAACATAACTTAATAACAAAATAAAACTTTTTACAAAGTGCATTACCTTTTTCTCACACCATCATGAGACAAGTATCTTAACGACCTTCAACTGTATTATTATGTAATTGTTTTAGCTGATTTAAAAATCATTACCAATAACAACTCTGTTAGAACTTTAACAGAACATGTTTACTTTGTTAAAATGATATAATTGGAGTGAATAATTTAAAGTTTAACACTAAATTAAGAGGTTATTTCTTCAATTTTTAAAGTTAAAAGGTGAATAGAAAATTTCCAGAAGGTTGAGGATCCGTTCGTGTAATTATGGAAGGTTTGGTCTGTACAATTCAAAAATAAGGAGTCAATTTGAAAGGGATATATTTGTAAATCAGAAACTTTTGGAAAAGAAATAATCTCAATCGAAGGACCAGTTGTGAATAAAGCGAAAAATGACCATTGTTGCTCATCAAGTTTTTGTGATGAAGGACAACCGCGTCGGAAACCAGTCACAACTATCTTCGCAGCTTCAAGAAGGTGATTTGATGGTGATGATAAAACAAACTTCACTACGGATTCGTCGCAATTAAAAAAAAAGTAAGTTAGTAATAAAGAAAATAAAAGAGAAGATGAAACTATGCTGGTTAAAAAAGAATGATTTACCTAAAAGAATTGGTCACATAAAATGACTTAGTTAACAATGTTTGATTTTGGTTACAAGAAAATACCTTAATAGCTAAAACTGCCAACATAAAAATTGTCTGTGTGTGTTAATAACTCTTCTAACTCCCACTTTCACCAGTAAAGAATTAATTTTAAAAGTTCGGCCATAAAATTCATCAAAGTGATAGAGGGGATAACCAGAGCCCACCTTGGAAGAGTCCGGTCAAGCACGGCGATTGCTTTAACCCGATTTTTATATGGTTAAACCAAACCATGAAGATGTTAACCAAGAAGAACGAGTCAAAGCACTAAAAACTCCGGAAAGCGGAAATGAAGCCGACGCGGGAAAAAAGTGAAGTCCCCACACTGAACCAATTGGTACTCTCCACTTTTCCTAGGAATCAATAATATGAATACTTGCAGCCTTTTCAAGTTCAACGACCTGTGTGTTTCATCCGAGCATAGAAGCCAAAGAAAACTCCCAGCACAGACTATTCAGCCAGAAACTCTCTTCTTCACACATTAAGCTATTCATAGAGTCTGGTAGCAGAGAGTAGATGAAAGTGAAAAGCCTTTTTCTTGACATAATTTCACAAAACATTTATGTTTCATCTGTCGGTGCATCAATGTTTCTCACTAAGAGCATAATAGAAGATGCTAAGCGATAGATGAAGCAAGCATGTGATAAATCTTAGATCTGGAGCGAAACTTCCTTGACAACATTATAAAACATCTTTTGTACTACATTTTAACATTCTGAAGAAATGGAAAGAAGAAAGCTTTGTTGTTGTTTTTTTTTTGGGTGAAATTAAACTTTATTATGTATTAATCAACATGAACCTACACGTTTCTCCATAGCTTTTTTGTACAGTTTATTCAGAACAACTTGAGAAGAAAGAATCAGTGAGAAAAGGAAAAGCAGCTTCCAGACTTGACCCAGTTTCAAATATTTGACAACTCTATGAAACTTCAACGGCAACTGGATTACACAATCATCAATTCATCATCATCTCTGCACATTCAAGAAAAGAAAGCAAAGAGATTCAAAACTCTTTCAAAACATAACAATAAAGCGATAATGATGGATGATGATTATGATCAGACCTTGGTTTCTTCTTCCACCTTATAATCATCAAGCGTCACTTCAGTCAAATAAAACGCAGGATGCAAGCTCTGTAAAACAAAACAAACAAAGAACCCAAATTTCAATCAGATCAGATCAATCAAGAAACTGAATAAAAAACTGCGACTTTACATCGAGTTTCTTCTGAACGGTCCTTGTCCGTTTCTTGGGTCGGCGCGGTGGTCGGTGACCCACAACCGCCATGAAATCCTCCTCGATCTCCTTCTTCGACAACTTGACGGAGAACTTAGGCCTCGTGGTATCTTTCGCCGTCGTCGTCTCGGCTCGTTCCTTGACCACCCTCGTCGGCGACGGATTCACCATCCTCTCCTCAGTAGTTGGTTCCTTGCACGCTGCTGCTGCTCTTCGTTTCCTCAGATTCCACGGCTTCACCGGAGAAACCTCTTTCTCGGTCTTCCGCTCTTCTTCTTCGTCCTCTTGCTCCTCCCCGAGAGCATACATCGATTGCGTCATCTTATCCCTAACCGTCTTCAGATCCGACATGATCTTCACCCTGAACTCCTCGATCCCTTCTTCCCCTTCCTCCTCCTCGCCGCCGTTATCAAACGCCGCGTTCCTCCACCGGCGATGCTGGCTTCCGTTGTTGTTTCTCCGGTGATCGGAGGAGCCAGAGAGTTTCAGAGGCGGAGATCGGCGTCGGAGTCGGTGATCGCCGGAACCACCACCGATGCTCGTGGTGGATTCGATCTTCGAGCAGGTGAGGTGTCGCTGACTCCCCCACTTCAAGCTCGGGAGAGAGAAGTTATGGAGAGTCTTTGGTCGCTCCGGTCTCGTCGTCATCTCGCCGCGTAATACCATTGATTCGGTGCACTCTCAAAACGATATCGTTTCTCTCTTTCCCCCAGAAACTTAAAAGATTTTTTCGACTCTTTTGGAGATCGTCGGAATTTTTTTACCGGCGGTGATGTTTTTTTCTTTTTTTTTCGTTGAGGATAGCGCCAGAGAGAGGCGAAAGGTTTGTTTATATATACGGAGGAAGAAGGGAAGGTTGTAAATCAATGGTGGGTTAGAGGGTAGTTTCGTAAATGCAGATTATGGTTCGCTAAAATGCGCGTGTGCTCGGGGTTTACATTTTCCCGGGTTCATAACATTTCCATTTTTTAAGTGAGTGATGACTTATTAGCCGTCGGATTGTATTTGGTCTTTCAGCATAACCGTTTATTTTAACCCACCGCACCATCTCAGTCGGAATCCTTCCTCTTTTTTTTTTTTTTTTTTTCATATCCTCTATTTTCAAAATCATATAATCGGGTAAGTCCACTTTTACTAGGTCAAATTCATATCTCAATATGTTACAAAATTTTATCTCACTAAAATATTTTTTATAAACGCCTATAAGACTTGATGATCTGGTTAATAAATAACTCTAGGATTTTAATACTATTTATTTATTTTTAAAAATATATTATTATTATTATTATTATTATATGGCAGCAATTTATCTAGTATCTTATAAGAAGTTATTTATAACGGTTTTATTTGCATTCTCTTAGAAGGTGTTATTACAGTTTAATGATTTTAAGAGCTTTGTATCTCTATCTTATGTCGAATGTTTCTTCAGTTTAATTAATTTATCATCAAGTTTACTAAGCTGGAACATGTCCTGCCGAAAAACATTTCTCTAAACATTTTAAATCTAATTACTGAACTCATAAACGTGTACTAAAAATATATTGTTCCAATAAAAAGAATTTGGAAAGTTTTCATATGAATCCAAAAGATTAGTTTAGAATTATGACTACTTAACAATTAGAGAGACAGAGTTTAAAGTCAACATTCCATTTTTTTTTCTTTTTGTAGTGTTTTGTATTACTCTAATATTAAGTCGAAGATCATAACAAGGGATATATTACCAACCCTACTTAACTATTTCCAAGCTTCTCAGAAATAGAAATGTGAATTTAAAGATAAGACTCTAGATATAACTTTTGGTATTAATAATGTATTGGCTATCTCTTTGGTATTTGATATTTCAGAGGGACTTTGATTCTGCCAAAAGGAACACACACACACATGAATGAATAAGATGTAATCAGACGACTTCACTAATCAAGATTCAATAGTGTTCTTCCTTTTGGAAGTGTAGAGAAGAAAATAACCAGCTCCTGCAGCTATCACTGACATGATTAAACCTGACTTATTAATCTTTAGTGGAATCCGGCTACCGATATAACCTGCTGTCCACCGTATCATAAAACTAAATCCGCAACTTGCTTTGAACTTCTGGATTGAGAATCCCTGAATCAAAATCAATCATACGAAAGTAGTGTGAAGCAGTAGTAGTGACGCACACACATTTTGTATACATTTTTTATTTGGATTGAAAGAAGAGTTTTACCTCTGGTAATTTGTTTTCTACAGCCAGGTTATCAATATGCAGCCTGACGTTTGAAGCTGCAGCCAACCAGAAACTGCGATCCACTTTTGAATACACATTAGAAACTATGTCAAACAAAGTCTGAGCTCCATCCTCAGTGGCCTTTAGGATTGATTCTTCTCTGCTCCTGCGGTTTCTGTAAACACAAGATCAAACCTTATCAAGTTTCCTCTGTTCCTCAGTTATATTCGATCAATTGACAAACAAAAGCAAATCAACAGGTTTTAGAAAGTCAGATTATATCTACAATAGCATATTCATACTTGAGATATCCGCAAAGCATGTGTTTTGGCCACAAATTGACTCTTCCATGCATGGGAATCACTACATGTGGAGAAAGCTCCAGGAACTTATATGTCGTTTGAAAGTATTCCTGCGAATGAAAAAAAATGGAAATTGAGGAAGTTGTGCTACTTACGTTGATACTATGACTAAACAAAACTTTCGAACAAACTGTCTCTTCTTATATTGAAGCAGCAAATCTAGAAACAAACCTCAACTAGGAAACATGCCAGCCTAAGCAGGTTAACCTTTCTATGGAACCTTTCGAAATAGAAAACAGCGTGGGCATACATACACTAGCTTCCAAGGCTACTTAGCACTTACCGTCATGTTCCCACCTGACCTAATGTCCAAGAAAGCACTTCCTTTACTGAAACAACGCAAATTGGTGATTAACATTTTGTTGAGTCACTCTATGTTTCACTATAGCAACAGACATTTAGTGAAGTTCCTAATCTTACCCAACACAATGATCACCGACAATCAGAGAACGAGTGGAGTTATGGAGTAGTGCCATATGGCCATCAGTGTGTCCCTGGGAGTGTGAATTTTTTGGTTAATACTAAACAGTATATTTTCCAACAGAGCAGGGCTACACAAGATTTTAAAGTAACTGGTTAGGTACCGGAGCAAAAATGACGGTCAAACTCTGACCATTGACATAGATGTTTTCTCCTCCAGAAACTGGGGTATAGTTACCAGACCAACCATCTGAAATCACAAAATATTCAAACATAAGACTAAGTTAAAATTTACAAGAAGGGAACACACTAATACACTATACTGAAGACTAATACCAATGCGATTCCTAGTTTTGACATGCGCCACTAGAATAGCATCAGGATTGCTTTCTTGTATAGCAGAAAGACCTGAATATGGATGAAAGAGGTAGATCATAGTCAATAAAGAAGTCTGAGTCAGATTTTCAATGAGAGACTAAAAAGGAAAACAAAAGAATCTACCAAACTAGGACAGAAAATCAAGAGATCCATACCACCAATGTGATCACGATGGTGATGTGTAACAAAGACAATTAGCTTTCTAGGTAAAGCATCAACAACTTTCTTGAGCTGGGTGAAGACAAAGCAATGCAGTTATCAATAGTAAAACGAGTAACGTACAGACCAAATCATTGAAGATGGTTAGAAGATTTTTGATGTGTACATTCTTAGAGAAGCAGAGGATACATAATACTAACAGCGAGAACTACATATGGGTTAGTGACAAACCTCAGTGTGGAGTTTATAGTGGCATCCAGGATCCACAATCAACGCATCCCCACGAATTACAAAATCTGTCTCCTTGTAGTCCACTGAGACATTTTCTGGAGCAAACACAACCAGATTAGTTGTCGTGAAAGGTTTCAACGTCCTGCTACGCATCGGCACAACCATAACACCAGGTGGATATTCCTGACATACCAAAAAAAACACACACATGAAAACAGGACTCTAATTAGATAAAACTCAAAATACAGTATGAAGAAGACAAGTATATAAACAGACCTGGACAGACAGAGAAGGTGACAGCTTCTGCTTCATCAAACCATCCCCAAGTCCGAGTAGTACTAATGGTCCAACACGATCACTACCCGGTTTTGCATCAACAAGGCAGTCAAAACAAGCTTCCATGGACATCCACTTACAGTTGTCTGCACTACAACACAAAAAAAAAACGAGTGAGTTTACCTATTCAGATTCAAGTTCTCTATTACCACAACCTCTAGAAAGATTAAAATTAAAAAAAGAAACAAAACATTATCGGACAAAAGGGACACAACCTTGTAAACTATGATCTGTCTCCAACAGCTTCCCGGCGAGAAAACAAGTACGGACACATGAGTCAGGTCCAAACTCAGGCTCAACTACATACCTGACGAAACTCCACTCTCCCACATGGCTAAACTCAATCCCTAAATTCGCCAACAGCTGCATTTACTCAGGGAACAATGAGAAAACGATAGACAGAGAGGGAGTGTATGTATGTAGTGTACAATTTTACAACGCTTACTCGATTCAGAGTAGTTTCTAAGTCGAATTTCTTCAAATCTATCTCTTCTGAGCATGATTCAGGTATAGAGAGAGTGAGACTGGATCTGATTCCGACTTCTAGAGACGGTAGATCTGTTGATGGCAGGTCCCAGAGATGGGAATCGACGTAGGAGTCGTAAGCTTCGTCTCCAAATTTTGCCGGCTGTTTTTGCTTCTCGAGGAGGAATTGGGCGGAGTCTGTAGGGTTCTTGATGATCAACGCAAGATTGAGATTGTCCATTTTTTGCAGAAAATGAACCCGAAAGTGTGAAGCTTTAAATTTCCCACAGGGTTCCGGTTGTTAGGCGGAGGAAGTAAATGTAAAATGATTGACGTTTTTATACTTCACTCTTTGACCCATTCTTTAATTTCAAAACTTTGGTTATAACCATAAATAATGTTTCTTTTTCTAATTTGAAGCTCTCTTTTGCTTCGCGATGCATTTTAGCTGCCTTGTTTTTTTGAACAATAAATATTGCAAGCAAAAACAAGAGGATTGCGAGCAAAAGCAACATTGAGATTGAGATTGCCAATTTTCTGGAAATCCGAAAGTGTCAAGCTTTAAATTCCGCAGGAGTTGGAGATGATGATGTTAAAAAAAAAAACCCACAGGGGTTAGGCGGAGCAAAATAATCTATTATTGAGTTAATTTTTTTGGTGTAAATCAAGCCTATTAAACCATCTACAATGATTTTACTAAATTCAATACTCTATTTGTAGAAGCACCATCATCTAGTGATTAAGATTTAAAGATTTCTACACTAGGTTTGAGGTTCGAATTTCAGACTATACTATGCAATTATTACATCAAGAAGATTTAAATTTCCAGAAAAAATAATGGCAAATTATGTAGACAAAAGACTTACAAGAGATCTTCAGTATGACACAAGGCATACCGTCAGAAAGGGATCTCATAGGATGGTTCATGGTGATGCAATCATACATGAATCCGCATAAAATAGGTAGAATTATCGGTTGTAGTATCGTCTATTTAATACTTCTTATAGTTTGTAATGCATAATTAACCAATAATACTAAAAACATTTAATAATCTCTTTTCTCTTTTTAACATTCCACATCTTCTTTTCTCCATTTCATCTAATTTTTTTTTTTGATAATCGAGTGTCCTGGCCCCACCATGTGGTCCAGACTAGAGACCGATCATCTAATTATTTAACACATATTTTATTTTTAACCTTTACAATAGTTTTATTTAATAAAATTTATTTAATAAAATTTAACATCCCACCATATCATTTTAATATATATTTTATAATATAAAATACATATTAATAACATTTTCAATTGAAACTAAATAAAATGACATACTTTTTAATAATATTTTTATATACTAATGTAATTTTAAAACAGATAATAAAATTAAAATTATTAAAAAAAATTATCAAACTTAAAATACACACATATAAACACAAAATTCTAAAATTTGGTTTGAATTCATAATGGTATCTTTTAGATCGTTCAAAAGAAAGTTAGAATTTTGGATGTTAAATTTCTTCTATTATGATTCATTTAACAAAAATAGTTAAATAAGTAGGTTTTTTAGAGAAAATAATAAGTTATGGAAAAATGTTTTCTTGTGGGTCCAAATTAAATGAACCAAATCTCTATTTGTAGATCATAAGAAATTATGAATTTTGATATAATTTATTTTCTAAAAAATATTAATTAAGTATAAAATAATTGATGTGAAACTCAAACACTTGGGATGGAAAAAAAATCTTAATAATTCTACCAAATAATGAGATACTGACATTTGTGCCAATCATTTTTTTTCCTAAAAAGTTAACAGCCCAATTTTTTTTTATTTTTTCATTGGCTGAAAAAACAATATTTTAATTTGATTGATTTATGTTGCAATATGTCTCCTGCATAGACCCAAATTTTTCTCTCTCTTAACCTCTTGAATTTATTAACAAAATATAAGTTCACGTCTTTTTGTTCAATTTTTCAACATCCTCGTTAAACTGATTTAATAGTTGATTTTTTTTTTCAATTGGTCCATTGCAATAGTTTTCGTAAGATCATCCATATTGGGGGGGGGTGTTGAAACTTATTTTCAACTATTGAACATCTTCCAATGAGGATGTTGAAATTTGAAATAATCCAATGTGGTATCAACAAGCGTTGTAAACTTTAACAGCTGAAACTTTTTTTGTGTGGGACAGTTTCGCCACATGGTGCAATTAGATTGGAAGAAATTGTTGGACAGAATTTTCGGATTTTTATTTTCACCTAATAATTCAAACTTATGTATTCTATAATAGATTTGTTTCAAAAAAGTAAAAATTATATCAAAATTTTATGATTTTTTATGATCTATAAATAAAGACTACTCTCATTTCATTTGGATACCAAAAAAAATCTTCATTGTTATTATAATAAACTATTTTAGTATATTTTTTAAAAAGATCCTAATTAATATTAATTTTAATATTATTTAAAAAGTAAAGTAAGTGTATAAATAGAAAAAAATAGATAAATTATGTTATTTTGGATTTTAAGCTAATTACAATCAAAAATATTATTAATATATTGTTATTATATTGTAAAGGATAGAAACGTGAATTAAAAATGATATGGTAGGTTAAGCTATTGAATTTTTTAAAATAGATTATTGTAAAAGGTTAAAAACGAAATGAGTGTTAGGTGGAAGAGAGAGAAGATGAAGTTAAATATATATGTAAAAGGGTGTCGAAAATAATATGGATGTTGGAAACCATTATACATGGTCTAATATGGTATCAGATGTTCAATTTTGAATGTGAGGAATGTCTATTAGATAATGTCTCACATTGAGATTTGAGAGATTTATGAACTAATATATATAGTGTATAAACAATTCTCCACTATTTAACTAGTTTGAGTCAGAGTTAGGTCCATTATTAAAATACTTTTCGCCTTTGATTGAGTTTCAGTTTTCATTCTTACGATACTAATGTTTCCAATTTGAAGCTTGATAATACATTTTAACGAAAAGATGAGAAATGAATATTGTTCAGTTTTGTGTTGGATGTATTGTACACTCCTAGTTGTCATTGAAACATAAGTCGAGTTATCAAAGAATATAATGTCAAAGTTAAAGAAACACAACAATAAATTGTCCCAGATGACATAAATGTAAGTAAAAAGAAAATCAATGAACCGAAGATCAATTTTGAGGTCAGTGATATTATTTCTCTAACAACACATACTCTGTTTAAAACATTTAAATAGCTAAACTGCTGGTATATAGTCGACACAAATCATTGCAAAAAAAAGATTACAACGTGTTAATTTCTATAGATTATGTACATTGTTTGTAGTAGAATATGTTAGAGAACAAATCCTTATATTATCGAAAATATTCTAGATAAGATAAAAAACATATTATTCTGCTAATATAGACATTATTTTTTACTAATTTAAAACTTTATTTGGATGTTGAAGGATTTTCATACTCCTTACAAAAAAAAGGACTTTCACACTCTATAAACATGTATCAAAGTTTCATATTTTTATGCAAAAGTCTATAAGCATGTATCAAAGTTTCATATTCTTTACGCAAAAGTGAAATATTTTGTTTTATATTATAGCATTCGTTATTTCCATCATTGGTTCCAACTTTACAATGTGTAATTGAAATTCTTATTTGGGGAATGAGGAACCATTTACATATGCCATTAAATATTAAGGCCATATACATAACAAGATGATGGCTACAATATGTTATATATGTTATCCAAAGTTCCTAAATAGACCTATTTTCCCGTGGAAAGAAAAGCTGTATTTTCTTTTATCGTTATCCTAGAAATTCAAAAGTCATTTCCACTTCTTCCGGTTTTCATATGTCGACAAACATCCATTTAGAGAAATGAATTAGAGAGGCCAATTAGTTGAAATCAGTTGTGATGCAGAGTTAACGAGGGGGAAAATCTTAAAATTTCGTCTCTGGGTTTGTGTTACCAAAAAAAGTTTGATAATCAAAGTTAGATTTACAGAGAACCGTCCAAAATCGTGGCAAATTTTGCAAGGCGGAGCGATCTCCTACCAAACTCAAGTAAGTACGGTTTGAATGACGAGCATAGTCGGTATTATCCTCTATTTTGAATCAATCTCATTGTATATCGACACCACTAACACCGTTTATTGTTTGCAGATCCAGGTTTATGGGTTTACCGGCGGTTGACCAATAAAGACAATTAGGAAAACAATTTTAATTTTACAAACTCATTTAGGATTTTTGTATTTTCCTTCTTCACCATGGGCCTCTCCATGGCTGTTTATGTGTTGTCTTCGTTAGTTTCCCACATAACTTTTTGGGTTCATGTTTGTGGGAGCAAGGTATGTATGTTCTAATATGATTATACTATATGAAAGACTTTGGTAGTATATTAACCATGTTTAGTAGAAATATCTCACATAATAAGAATAGATCAAACAATGGTATTTTGTTAAAGTAGAATAATATACAAGTATTTGTACCAATATATATTTGATCATTGTCAAATCTACACAACATAAGAGAGTTGAGTGAAGTTCGGTTTGCTTGCTTAATTATACTATATGGATGTGTTTGTAGTATAGCTTTAAAATGGTTGTGGAAGCATGCATACAACTACATAATTGAAAAAAGTTTAGTATGTTATGACTGGACTCCATCATTGCAAGTAAACATGAACACTTTGTTTTATTCATCTATATTGCTATAGGATTTGTACTATTGTGAGCCTGCTACTCTCCTCACTTAGGTACCAATATCCATCGGTGCTATATTATTTAGCATGTCTTAGTAGTATGGAATCATTTATGTCATCCATTTACATGTGTTTTGTTTTTTACAAGTTGTGTATGTGAATTGTGTAACTTCATTCCACGTTGTAACTAAGTCAGGACTCGTCTATGTTGATGTTGATATGTGCAGTGACTACATATTTTATACAATAAAACTTCTAAAAGTAATAATGTTGGGACTTTAAAATTTTATTAATTTATAGAGATATTAATTTACAATAGTTTTTTATTTATATTTTTAATTTTAAAATATGTTTTCCTAAAATAAGAAAAATATTTGATTTTACTGTATAAACATTAATTATTATTTTCAAAAATTTGGAAATTTATATCAATTCTATTATATTATTTTGTGTATATAATATATATTGCATATAATCTAAATATGAAAACTTGTGAATATAAAACAAACAATATAGGGATATGTTCTTACTTATACAAAATATGTATACATATAATTATTATTTTATAATTTTAATGGGACCATACATTTACATAGAATTTTATAGAAAAAATCTTTTCTTATTATTATATCGATTTGTGTCAAATTTTGAACCGGTTCAAGTTGGGACCGAAAAAATTTATTTTCTAGAGAATATTAATCTATCGAGTATTATATTTTAGAGGTTCTACTGCATATCTTTCAGGCTGCAACTAATAGGAGCCACGATGAAGCTGCAACTGGCATCGACGAAGAACAGCCAGGTGGTGATTTTTTTTCGAGCTAATGCCCATGATAAGGAGGTTGTGGTACCGTTACTGCCAGCGTCTGAACAGCCTATACGTCCAACCGTCGACATGTCAACAACCAAAGCCCCTCGTGTTTGGCGTTATTGCGTCTATACCTATAAGTAGCCATTTGAATGTTGCAAATGTGCATGAGAAACAATACTATACTATGGAGCAGTATATAAATAGTATGGAAACAATTTATTTCGTACAAGTTACAATGCTTAGTTTGGAACAATACTATAATGTTGTATATTTTCTAAATACTGACTTATTCTTATATTTTGCAGTTTGCATAACACGGACCGAAAGTTATTGATGTCTCTTGTAGCACATAAGGCCATACATGGTCACACATAAAGCCACATCACGTGAATTCTCCTCCAACGGGTCATCAAATTTTACCTTTTTGGTACCAACCGTTGCGCTTCACTCAATCATGTTGATATTGACTATGTTAACCACGGTTCAATCCCCTTGTATTAATTGTGCACCTTATGTTTTTAGGCACATACATACCACTATCTATTTTAATGGTGTAGTCTAGTTTTTCATATGTTAATTTCCACATTGTAACTAATATTAGAGTTCCTATATAGAATATGTAACAAATAAGTACGTGTGGATTGTGTAATTTTTGTGTTAATTCATTACTATACTACCTAGTTTATATTAGGGTCGACGATCTATTTCCCCGTGAGAAGTATCGTATAGCACTAAATATCTAGAACTATGACCCCATTCTATTTACTCCCGTGAATAAAGTTCAAAACCTATTTCTCCACCAAATTCGGACGTGTGCAACAAGTTTGACGTGTGCAACAAGTAAGTTAGTTCGATGTTTAATATGTAATTCTTACAAGTTTCATTGTTTAAAGTGTTAACAGTTGAGTCTCAAGGTTTAAATTGCAAATTTTTACCAATTTCATGATTTTTTATGCAATTTTCCCAATTATCATATCCATGACTTCTGCTTTATTATAATTTATTTTTTTTATTTTCGAATTTTTTTTTTTTTTTTTTTGACAACCATTTTTCGAATTTCTTATGAATATTGATCAAATTTATCTTTCTAATTGTTTTTCTATAAGTCACTCTTTTTTTGCACACTTATTTTAATTGTATTAACAAGGAAAGAGATTAGTTGACCAAAAAAACAATACAAGGAAAGAGATTAGCAGCATTTAGCAGAGCCGAAAGTGCTCAACTTTCATCTTGAATTGTGTGTTGATGATGCCAAAGTAACAAAAAACAGTGTGGGCACTCTTCTCTCTACAGAATCAAATCCACCAGATTTGTTATAAGAAAGAAAGAACAAAAAAAAAACGACCCTTTCTTTTGTGTTTAGCCTTAAACGCCTAAACGATACGCAACCCTGTTCAGGAGAAGGAAGGCACACAAAGTCTCTCTCTCTTCCTTTACCATCCTGCACGTTCCGCCCCGACAATTTCCGGGTCGGGTCAATGTCAATAACGACGGGAACTGTTTATAATCATCCCCAGTTCATCAACTACTTTGAGATCTCTTTCAGATAGATTTTATTTTTAGGGTCAGGTTTAATCAAATCCCGTGGAGATGGTTGAGAATGAGAGCTCCTCCTTTGATTACCGGAGCATTAGAGAAGCCGCCTGTAACGCCGGCGCCGGAGCCACCGCAGGTTCAGTTTTGATCATCTTTTCTTCTGTGTTTCAGTTTCATGTGTGTTAATTTGGTTTGTGGAACGTTTTTTAGGGGCGATTGCGGCGACTTTTGTTTGTCCATTAGATGTGATCAAGACAAGGTTGCAAGTTGTTGGTCTCCCGGAAGCTCCAGCGTCGGGGAAAAGAGGTAATTTTGAAGCTTAAGTTTGCTTCAGAATGTTAACAAGTAGATGTAACTGTAGATCTTATGTGATCAGTGATTTGTTTATGCATGTTTGATTAAGACTCTCTGGAGCTATGCTTAGAGTTAAGCTTAGTTTCCTTAAGAATGTTAAAAAAGTAGATGAGCTGTAAATCTTATGCTGTGATAATGATATGTTATGTTTGTATGCAAATGTTTTTTTTTTCTTGAAGTTTATTGCATGTTTGATCAAGACTCTCTATAGCTATGCTTACAGATGCTATCAGTATGAAGTTTAGTCTGCTTTAGAATGTTAAAAATAGATATATCTGTTAATCTTATTATGTGGTGATGATATGTGATTTGTGCATGCAAATTTGTTTTTTTTTTTGTTTGGTTGAAGCGTTACATGTTTGATCAAGACTCTCTCTGGAGCTATGCGTATAGGTGCTAACAAGCTGCGTCTGTTGAAATATCAGGTAGTGTGATCATTACAAGCTTACAGAATATAGTTAAGAAGGAAGGTGTTAGGGGAATGTATCGAGGGCTTTCACCAACCATCATAGCTCTCCTTCCCAATTGGGCTGTAAGCGCCACTTTTCTCTGACGACCTTTGTTTGTTTAATACTTGCTGAACAGTCTCATATAGATCTGCTATTCGCTATCTGTTATGTCTTTCCTTTTGATCGATATTTTGGTATAATGTGCAGGTATACTTCTCAGTTTATGGGAAGCTAAAGGATGTACTTCAGTCAAGTGGTTGGTTTACGTAGTTTACAAACTACAAATCTTTTTTGTGGTTTATTTTTTCTCATGCGATGCTGGAAGAGTATTGTAGTCCAGTGATTGCGTAATTTGATTTTGTTCTTACCAAAGCATTATGGTTCGTTCTGTCTTTTCATGATAGATGGCAAGCTTAGTATTGGGGCAAACATGGTAGCGGCTGCTGGTGCCGGAGCTGCCACTTCTATTGCAACTAATCCACTTTGGGTTGTCAAGACAAGACTAATGGTAGAGCTTTTGTACCCTTTCTTTGGTTTCAGCATTACTTTACATTCTAGATTGTTTTCGTCTTATTGTGTTTATCTTCACACTTTGTTCAGACGCAAGGAATTAGGACGGATGTGGTACCTTACAAAAGCATTATGTCTGCTTTTAGTAGGATTTGTCATGAAGAAGGATTGCGAGGACTTTACAGGTCAGTACTTGCTATGAAACTCAGTCATATTGAAAGCCTTTTTCTTGTGACATTTCGTGGTTATATCAGTTAAGTTTTTCCTGTGTTTGGAACAGTGGCATTTTACCTTCTTTAGCGGGGATAAGCCATGTTGCAATCCAGTTTCCAGCATATGAAAAGATCAAGGAATACATGGCAACCATAGGTAAAACATGATTCCTCCACTAAATTACTATTTCAAATGCTGTTCCCAAATCCCAACTAGTTTCTGATCATATCTTGTTAAAGCTCTCAGATAATACATCCGTCGATAATCTGAGTCCTGGAAATGTTGCTATTGCCTCTTCGATTGCGAAAGTACTCGCCTCTGTTTTGACTTACCCACACGAGGTCTCTCTCCTCCTACTCCTCTATCAACCTCACTCTTAGGCTCATAACTTTCTGATCCGACACTAAAATAAGTTTATGTTACATCAACAGGTAATTAGAGCCAAACTTCAAGAACAAGGGCAAATGAGAAACGCTGAGACTAAGTATTCCGGAGTTGTTGATTGCGTCAAGAAGGTGTTTAGAAGCGAAGGGATTCCTGGAATGTACCGTGGATGTGCCACTAATCTACTAAGGACAACTCCATCGGCAGTTATTACGTTTACAACCTATGAGATGATGCTTAGATTTTTCCGACAAGTTGTGCCACCAGAGATTAATAAGTCGGGCGGTCACAATAGAGAAGAAGAAATAAAGAGTTTAGTTAGTCGACAGGGAACAGAAGAAGATGAGAGAGAATCACATACTGAATCTAATAAAATCAACACTTCCCCTATCCCTCTTGGAAGCAAATAAGGCTTGTTTTCAGAGTAAAGACATGCTCCTGAGTTTTCTTTTTCGTATTGCCATGTTTCAATTAAGTGATTTTTCCCCTTGCGGTGATCAAGTTGTAACCTATTCTCGTCGCCCTAACAAATGTATAACTTTTGGCCCTTCTGAGTTATGATGATAAGCGAATATTTGAAAATCAGACTATCTATGTGCGCATTGCAGGTTGTGAGATGTACAGAAAGCGATTTGAGTATTTCAGATTTAGATGCTTGGATGGAATTTTGTTGACATTAATGATAGAGGCTGCCAGAGAAGGTAGAGGATTTGTTGCCTTGTTCTTTCTCAGTACTGGGGGCGCATCACCTACCACGAGGTAACATAATCTACTCTAGGGATATAAGCTTTTAGCCCTTGTTGAAGGAACTAATGGAAGTCATCTGTTTCTGGTTAGAGAGAATTTTCTTGGCAGCACTGATACAGTTGCATATGTTGAGTATGATAAAAAAAATAGCCATACAAAATTGGTGAGTAGTAGTTCAAGTTATGCCACTATGTATATATTTTCAATACCTGCAACTTTACAACTCGGTGTTTCATCTTATTTCTTTCCATTGACACAAATGAGAAGAAAGCAAAACCTGATGCTACCTTAGCAGCTGTAGGCACTGGTGTTCGGTGTGGTTGATTTACTGGTCCATTGCTCAGTCACAGAGATGGGTGACCGTGGGAATTTTTTATTCTGCATGAGGGAAGCCTCTCCCCAATCCGGTGGCGAAGGATGCGGAGTTACTGTCTCTTCTCTGTAGTTGTAGTATTGACATTTTTGCTCCTCGTTTTGGATCTCCTTTAGCTCTTTCACAACCTCTTCCATTGTTGGTCTCATTGTACCATCTTGCTGCAAGCACTGAAAAGCCAAACCTGCCACCATTGTAGTCATTTTTCTAACTCCTTCATTGGTTCCGTATCCAAGACTCTGATCAATCAGCTCGTGGGTTGCCTTGTTCTGTATCTTGTTTATAGCTAAGCTAGATAGGTTTATCTCACTCTTGGACCTATTTATATCAACAGCAGGCTTGGACGATATCAGCTCGACAAGAACCACTCCGAAGCTGTATACATCACTCTTGTCGGTTAGATGATAACAGTGATGATACTCAGGATCCACGTATCCCGCAGTGCCTTGAGGAGCAGTTGAAACATGAGTTGCATCAGTAGGGAACAACCTCGAGAGTCCGAAATCCGCAACTTTGACTCCGTAGTTTCGGTCGAGGAGAATGTTTGTAGTCTTGACATCGCGGTGAATGATATCTGAAGCGTGAAGGTAAGCCAAAGCACTTGCGGTTTCTATGGCGATGCTCAGGCGCATTGACCATGTTAAGAAGTCTTGGTGTGTTGGGTTTTCAGCTTCACCGAAGAGATGATCTGCAACTGTGCCGTTTGGAACAAACTCATAGACAAGGAGAAGTTCTCTGCTGCGGCGTGAAGTGCATCCGTAGAGAGAGACTAGGTTTTTGTGATGGAGACGTGTGAGGATCTCTATCTCGTTCATGAATTGCTCGAGTCTTCTGTAGTTGTGCTCGTAGAGACGCTTCACTGCAACTTCTCGTCCATCACGCACTTTTCCTGAGACCAGAAGAGGAAGAAAACATTGCTTAACATAGAGATGTCATGTCACTTTCTATATATGTTAGTGCATTGATCATCTTACCATAGTAGACAGTGCCAAAGCCTCCATCTCCTAGTAACCTGTCCTTACTGAAGTTGTCTGTGGCTTCTTGAAGTTCTTTATAGGAGAAGATTGGTATCTTAAAGAAGACGTGACTAAACTCAACGTCAGAGTTCGAGTTATATCTTGAGATGAGGTCTGAACTGGTTTTCCTTCTCCGAATCCTTTGGATGAAGATAAAGAGTCCCACCAAGATGATTATCAAGATGAGAGATCCTCCTATTCCTGGACAATTGGGGAGGAAATTGATTCAAATGGATACTATATGGAGAAAGATAAAGAAGCTAAGTGGCTAAACAGAATATCTCTCTTTTTACCTAATCCTAGCTTTAGCTTCTCTCCTTGGTAGTCTTCTACAACAAAGAAAAGGGAAATTGAATTATTGTCATGTCCATATGTTTCATTCATCATTCATGGTTCATTGTGCATACCTTTGCTTCCTCCAAGGCAGCGAAACTTGTGTTTGATCATCGTACATATTCCTCCTCGTCTATAGCAGCGACGGCAGTGTCTAGGCAGGTTTATATGAAGAGAAAAAGTAGCATTAAGAATGGAGTGGTTCTTGTTTCTTGAAATATTCCAGCTCTCTGGGGACTTGATACCTGAACACCCTGAATAATCTTGCAAATTAGAGTAGTACAAGCTGCTTCCTCCTCCTTTGCAATTTGCATAAGTGAAACCATTCTCCCTACTGTTGTTGCATTTGTACAAAGTTGTCAAGTTGAGCCATGGAGAATCTGGAAGAGAGAACTTTGACAAGTCAGTGCAGGATCCTGTTTCCAAGCTTTGGTTAAGCCTCGGGTCAGTGATGGTTATGGTGTCGGCTTGAGAGACGCTCGTCACTTTGTACCATTCGCCATTTTCCACAAGCTGCATCTCTGTAATCTGGTGATTAGTGCACTTCAGCTTGAAAAGACCGCACTGGGACGGCATGGTTGTGTTAAAGAAAGGGAACCTGAAGTCGAGGCTTCCACAAGAGAATGTTTTGGTACAATTTGTCATTTTCTTGCTCCTGGCTTCTGCGATGAGAAAGAGTAGGAAGAAGAAGAAGAAGACCAACACAGAGATAGTCTTCATTGGTGTCGTGATTACAAACTTGTGATTCTTGATATCTAGATCTACAAAATATCAAGACTTTAGTTCCATCTTTTTTGAAGAAACTATATTATATAATTATCCTCCTACCCTTGTATGGTTTGGTCCTTTGAATGGTATTAAGACAGGAGAGTTGACTTGTGTGGAAATTCAGACAGAGCTATAGAGGAAAAAGAGCATGGATCATGAGGTTGCAAGAGACGAAGAAGATGAAGATATGTGGGGGTATCTTTGAAAAAACTATGCAATAGTCTTTGAACCTTGCTGCTTTATTGGAAAAAAAAGAACATTTGAAAATGGTATTGACCGGAGACTCTGGTGGAATGGTAAACTTTCAATTCTATAGAAATTTGTGTGTTTACCTTTTGGTCGAAGTTGCATGTATAATAAGATTTGACCACACACCACTTATCTTAATATCTTCATGTCTTGTCATCCTCCTCTTGTGTCTTCCATTATTAAAGCGTTAGAAGCACTGAAAGTGAGACCTTTGCTCTTTCGAGGTCTTCTGATTCTCCTTTCATTTAATATTCATAATCTTGTTTTAGTAATATCATAATTCATTAAAACCATGTTAACTGATAGGATTAATTAATGTTATTAAGAAAAGAATTGATAATGATGTCTTGGTAGACACCAAAGAAGACAAGAGTTTGATCAATGATATAATTAAGATAGTGATGGCGAGCAACTTGCAGAAAAGAGAATATCTCTTTTTTTAAAGGGATTTGTAGTTGATGAAACACGTTCTGCGTAGAATAAAGACGACACGAGGGCTACTGCATATTCATATTTGGACTAATTTGATTAAAATACAAAATTAACATTTCCGAATCTTTAAGGTCTTAGAAAATCACTGGCGATTATATAGTCGGTTATACGTTAATTGATGTAAATGATCATAAATTACTTAATAAGTACAAAGATACAGAGTTCAACGACTAATCTTTGATGTAAATGATCATAAACTGACAGAAAAAAATAAGTGATAGAGAGATTCTAAATGCAAGGGAATGTGATCATGACAGCACCCACATGTCGGTTCTGTGATTGGTCGGAAGTCAATTTTGGGATGTTGAATCTGGAGGCTCCTTTCAAAAACTCAAGTTGGGCCAACTCTCTTTCAGCCCCTTTGTTACTCTCGGTAAGTACTGATCTATAATGGAAGTGTTAGGTACTGCGACTGCTCTATCTCATATAAGATCCAAATATCAAATGATCTAATTTGTTAAGTTATTCGGATTGTTATAGACCATACCCGATCTGAATATGGAAAATACTCAAAGAGATAATATAACTCTAAATTGACATACCTGAAAATTGTTATAGCATCTAAAGGCAGAAACAGAATTCCTGAAAGGCCTGAAGACCCAACTGGTTCATTCTCCGAACCACGATTTTTTTGTTTCTGGGAAAATTAGTCGGTCGCATTCACATCATTTGGTCTCGTACAGGATGTGAGCTTTGATATAACTCAACTAGACAAATGTCATGAGAAAAAAAGTTGTCACCTATACCAATATAAGCGATTTATAATCACATATATAAATCTAATGTCTCATTAAATATATGTTTAACATGACAACATTTTATTAATTACTCCCTCCATTTCAGAATAAATGTTACTTTAACACATTTCACGCAGATTATAAAATCAATAAAATATATTAATGTACCCTTATCTACTAATAATAACAATCCGGATTAATTCTAAAGGTTGTGAATCTTATTTAAGGTGAAAGGTTGTGTTTTTATTTTTAATATCTCAAATTTGTTTTTATATAATTACTATTTGTTTCAAAAGTTGTGTAATAGTTAATTTAAAAATTCAAGGTTTTCCATTATAGGATAAAATTATATTTAAAAAAAAAACTAATGTGCTTTTATAATAAAACTGTTTTTTTTAAAGGATGTATCCCTTAAAAGTTATTTATTTGAAACGTGTCCCCAAGTTATATCTCTTCAAAGGTGCCTCTTAAACAAAACTGCAAAACAAAATTCATATCCTTACACTTGTGATCTTTCCTCAAGAGTCGTATCGTTTCACAATCTATATATTAAAGAGATTGTAAAGGTTATCAGATTTATTAAGTTCTCTCTCATTTTCTCGTTTATTTCTTATCATTTCTCTGGATTTTTAATTTCTTTGTTTCTTGATATACGCTGTCCCGTTGAGTTTCTGCAATTTTCGACCTATTCCTCTGGCGAATACTGCATGTGATGAGTTGGTGAGTTTACTGTATTTCTTCTTTTCCAAAATTGATTTTGGTTTTATTTTTCTGTTAAGTTTATGATAAGTTTATTGACCCTATTGAGTTTTCTCCTTGCAATTACTCTATTTACTGCCCTGTTGAGTTTCTAATTC